GAGACTCCACTCAAAAAAAAAAAAAAAAACACAACACTGTTACGTTGGTTAAGTCCAGGGTTCTTTCTACATTTTTTTTCTCTTTTTTTGGAGTCAGGGTCTTAATCTGTCACCCAGGTTGGAGTGCAGCGATTGCATAATCATGGCTCACCAGAGGCTCAGGTAATCCTCCCACTTCAGCATCCTGAGTAGCTTGGACTACAGGTGTGCACCACCACACCTGGCTAACTTTATTTTTGTAGAGATGAGGTCGTGCTATGTTGCCCAGGCTGGTCTCGAGCTCCTGGGCTCAAACAATCCTCCAGCCTCAGCCTCCCAAAGTGCTAGGATTATAGGCATGAGCTCCAGCCGTTACTACACTTTTGTAAGTGGGGATGTGAGAAGAAGGACTACAGGACTTAAGACAAAGTAAACTTGAAGAGATGTAACAAACTATTTAAGAGCCCAGCTCAAAGATTCTGTCAGACAATATATGCAAATGAACCAGCTATAGCGAGCCTATCAGTTGCTAAAGGAATCTACAATACAATATAAAAATCTTTACATGAAAAGAAAAGGTCAGTAGATATATGTGCCTTCAAGGAAATCTATAAAACACATTTTCAAGAATATCTAGTGCCACCTGCTGGATTTACATGTGGAAAAAAAGCTAACAAGGATAAGGGAAAAAAATTATAAAAGTATCCTTGGGAAATATTCTCCAGAGTTACCCAGGCCACAGTGGGCTTTTGTACAATCTAGCTCCTTTCTGCATCTTTGACAGCAGTTGCAAACTGACTTGCAACATCCTTGTATCATTCAAATTCTTGCTTCACAGAGAACCAAAGTGAATAGATTTTCTCTACCTCTTGCAGCACGCTCACATTCTTACATGCTTTTTCTCCTGTGATAATGGAAAAGTTATGATGCTTTATGAGATCAATCCCCTGAAGGGTGGCTTGGGCTTATTTCCACTCCCATGACTGTGTTTCATCAACGACCCCATTAACCCTAGCTCAGGACCTCCATGGCTTCTATCCTCAATCTCCTTGGCCCCATTAGAAGCTACCTACTTGCACTTAATAGTTGTGAATCTTTCCCATGTTAATAAAATGTTGACAAAATCCTTCTTCCAACCTACATACCTCTGCAAGCACAAACACCCCTCTCTTACTCTTTCGCTGCCAAACTATTTCCAAGGGTTTCGAAGCTCCTGCTCTCATTTCTCACCTCCCACCCGCTCTAGACTACCATTTGCAGTCTAGCTTCTGCTCTGCTCAGGGCAGGAATGATCACCTGGTAAGCAAGTCCAACAGTTATAACAGATTCTGATCTAGCTTGACCACTCCCTCCTACAAACTTTCTTCCTGCAGCAACCATGATGCAAGAGTTGTCACTTCCCTCCTGCAGCCTCCTCAGAGGCTTCTCTCCCCTGTCAGTCCTTTAAAGGCTGGTGTTCTTCACAACTCTGCTTCACTCACTCATCCCGGGTTTGATTATCTTCTTCATACTGCAGATATCCAAACCTTTACCTCAACTGAAATATCTAGCTTGAGTTCCATACCCAGATCTTTGGAACATGTCTGTAGGCATCTAAAATTCAAAACATTTAAAACTTAACTCATTAAAACTTCCCGCCTTGCGTGGGAACTGACTGAGAAGGGGCATGAGGGAACTCCCTGGGGTGATGGTCATGTTCTCTAGCTTAATAAATATTTAGACAAATGCAGGTGTATACATTTGTCAAAGCTCAAGTAATGTGCACTTAAGATTCAGGGAGAAGTGTCTAATGTCTATAATGCTCTTTAAAATTCTTTCAAAAAGATAAGGTAGATTGAGCTAATCTCGGTAGAGGGATGGCTAGAGTACATATGTGATAAACCAAGGACAGTAAAAAATGTTACAGGTAAAATCTAAATGGTGGGCATATGGGTGTTCATTGTACAATTCTATCAATATTGCTTTATGCTTGCTACTTTTTCACAATAAAATGTTGGGGGAAAACATCCCATCTCCTACCTCAAATGTGGAAACAAGGAGCATGCCTGTTCTTTCCCCAAGGTCTCTGATCTCAGTGGCATCCCTGCCATCTAACAGGTTGAACAAGCCAGGGATCTAGACACCACTCTGACTTTTGTTTTCTACCCCCTGGGACCGACCAAGTCACTAGGGTCTGCCCTTCTTCCTTCTTCATCTCTCAATGAAGGGCACCTCTCTCCACCCCAGCAGCCAGTTCCCAAAATCTCTCACGTGGAATAACTTGGTCTCCTAAGTAGTCCCCAGGGTTGCCGCTCTCCAATCCACTTTTCCTAAATCCCAAATTTGATTATGTCCTTTGCTTAAAAGTTTAAGAGCAACCCACTGGCTCCAGGATAAAGTCCAATCTTTAAAAGGTCTTTTAACACTTGGCCCTTTCCCCCAACCATACTTTTCTCCCTAGTCACTCTCCTCACCCTCTTTCCCCACCAAGCACTCCAGTCACTCTGAAATATCTTCTACTGTCTGACTGTGTCATCCTTCTTTTCTGTGGGTGGAAGCGAGAGAGGGAAGGGCCCTCCAGGTCAATGTGCAAACTCCCCTATCTAGAGCACATATCTCCTTTCTCCCTGGCTAATTTAGTTAGCAATTTAGAAATTACTTCTCCCAGTAGCCTTTTTTTTTGAAAGCCACATGGTCTCCCTCTGTCACCCAGGCTGGAATACAATGGTGTGATGAAAGCTCACTATAGCCTCAAACTCCTGGACTCAAGTGATCCTCCTGCCTCAACCTCCTGAGTAGCTGGGACTACTGGCACATGCCACCACAGTTGGGTAATTATTTTATTTTTGGTGTTTTGCTATGTTGCCGGGCTGGTCTTGAACTCCTGGCCTCAAGCGATCCTCTAGCCCTACCCTCCCAAAGTGCTGAGATTACAGGCATGAGCCACCATACCCAACCCAGTAGCTTCCTTTAACCCTCCCTACCCACAGTCAAGAACCAGTGTCTCATCAATTTACATCTGTGCACCCTGTGCTTCCTCACATTACAGTACTGGACTGTACTTGTCTGTTCAATTGTGCTTCTCCCTACTAAACTAAAGCGCTTGTGAGTGGAAGAATTAACGTTTTTGTGGCCTATTACATTCCAACAGCAGCACTGTGCTAGCATACAGAGGGCATGCAATAAATCTTGACTGAATTAATTTATCACTTATGCATAGATTTCATTCCTATAGGAAACCAAGTCTGTATTTCACAAAATGGAAATAAGAAAATAATGATTAAGTGATGTTACTTACTAGAAAACCTTTTTCTTCAACACTGGAATTCACTTGACATTTTATCTTCAAATAAATATGACCTTCCAAAGAAGATAAAAAGGGCACCTGTGAAGCAAGAAGGTAAATAATTTGCAAAACAGTTTCAAAGTGTGATTTTTCTTGACAAACCATGTATAAATCATAAACAGAGAATGTTACACCTTGAAAATATGCCATTTTCTAAAGCTAGAATATAAGCGACGCGGGCAAGAAGCCACTGGTTCCTTAGCAACAAATGCTTTTGAAGAATAAATTCACTTAAGGCAAAGCCTGACAAAAACAAAGGCCCTAAGTTCCAAGTTAACGTGGGAAAGAAAACATAGATTTAAGAGGATACATGTATTTATCCATTCTCCATCAACAGGTGAATACTCAATAGGAGATTTGTAAATCAATCTGTAAATTCATGTAATACAGTATTACTCAGCAATAAAAGAACAATGAACTGCAAAAATGGAAAAGCTAATCTTCATATTTTATTATTTGGGGGCCTCATATGGAATTCCAAGAGGTTCTCAATTAATAAAGTCAATTTTGAAAAAGAAGAACAAAGTTGGAGGAACCGTACTTTCTAATTTCAAAACTTAAGCAAAGCTCTGGTATTCAAAACAGATTAGACATACACAAAAGGAATAAAATTGATAGTCTAGAATTACATACATCTATGGCAAACTGATTTTGGAGAAGGATGCTAAGACCATTTAAAAGGAAAGAGCAGTCTTTTCAATCAATGGTGCTGAGAAAACTGGATATCCACATGCACAAGAATGAAGTTAGACCTCTGCCTCATACTACATACAAAAATTAATTCAAAATGAGTAATGACCTAAATATGAGCGCTAAAACTATAAAACTTTTAGAAGAAAACCCAAGGGGTAAAGCTTCATGATCATAGATTTGGAAATGGATTCTTACATATAATACCAAAGGCACAAGCAATACGAACCCTATTGTGAATTGCACATGCAAGGGATCTAGGTTGTGGCTCCTTATGAGAATCTAATGTCTGATGATCTGAGGTGGAGCTGAGGTGGTAATACTGGAGAGCAGTTGCAAATACAGATCAACATTGCTGCGAGGTCTGACTGCACAGAGACCATAATAAATCAATTGCCTGCAGACTCATATCAAAACCCATCCAGGCCTCTTTCCTACACTGTGCACTTATTTCAGTCACAGTTTTGGTAAGCCCACAAGCTAACCCTAGCCAAAATGAGTAAAAAAATAAATGTCACTGGAGAGTATCTTTGAAAAGGGAAAAAGAACCAATGATGAGCCAGCAGAATGCCAACCAAGAGAAAACTATATATAAAAAGAAAAATACCAAGAATTCTACTTAAATTATGGGTCCATTGCAACAGGTGATTCACATTCTCCAAGTTTGCTTTTAATATGTGGTGACTGGCTATCCAACGAAGCCAGGAAACTTTCAACATTGCTTTTTGCCACATGGACACCAAGTACCCTGCATTAAAAGACAGTCTTTGGAGTTTTTCAAAAGAAAAAATGTGGACATGAAGAACAGAAACAATTATTGAAGCCCATAATTTCATCACAAATATGTCTGCACTGAGAGCATCACTCTTAGTGGCTAACCACAGTGGTCCCCAACCTTTTTGGCATCAGGGACTGGTTTTGTGGAAGACAGTTTTTCAATGGATGGGGGGCAGGGGTGGTTTCAGGATGTTTCAAGTGCATTACATTTATTGTGCAATTCATTCTATCATTATTACTTTATTTCTATTATTATTATATATATAAATATATAGCATCACTGCCTCAGCACCGCCTCAGATCATCAGGCATTAGATTCTCATAAGGAATGCATAACCTAGATCCCTTGCATGCTGAGTTCACAATAGGGTTCACACTCTTCTAAGAATCTAATGCTACAACTGATCTGACAGAAAATGGAGCTCAGGCAGTGGTGATGCGAGTGATGGGGAGCAGCTGTAAACACGCTTCACTGGTTAACCCGCTGCTAATCTCCTGCTGTGTGGCATGTTTCCCAACAGGCCACAGACCAGTACCAGTTCATAGCCTAGGGGTTTGGGATCCCTAGCTAACCACATTGCTAAAGCTAAGAAGCCCTTTACTATTGGTGAAGAGTTAATCCTGCCTGCTGCTAAGGACATTTGTCATGAATTTTTAGGAGAGGCAGGTCAAAAGGTGGCATAGCTAGCACCATAACTAGACAAATTGACAAAACAGCAGAAGATATTGAGGCACAATTGTTAGAGAGGACTAATGAGTCATCATGGTACACAATCCAGGTTGACAAGCCTACCAGTGTCGACAACAAGGCAACAATACTTGCTTTTGTGCAATATATTTTCCAGGGGGAAGTCCATGAGGCTATATTATATGCACCTTTGTTGCCAATAAATACCACAGATGCAGAACTAGTCTGATTATAAATGATTGTGTATTAAGAAATTTTGTGTCAGTATATGCACAGACTGCCATGACTGGACAACTTTTAGGTTTTACTACTCAGGTCAAAAAATTCACTTCTGAATGTGAGTCTATGCAGTGTCATCCATATAGAAAAGCTGGCTAGTGAAAAAAATGTCACCTGAATTTAACAACGCTTCATAGGATGTGATTAAAATTATCAACCACACTAATGTACATGCCCTTAACTCATGACTGTTTGCACAGCTCTTTGAGGAGATGGATGAAAAACACACACGTCTTCTCTTATACATAGAAGCGAGATGGCTTTCACACAAGTTTTTGAGTTATGAGAGCTGCTCTAGAGATTGTTTTTAGAAAAATAGTCACCACCGGCACTACATTTCAGCGATACAGAATGGATCGCAAAACTTGCTTACTTGTGTGACATATTCAACCTGCTAAACAAACTCATTCTGTCACTTCAGGGGAGAATGACAACTCTGTTCAAGTTGGCAGATAAAGTGGCTACATTCAAAGCCAAACTGGAATTATGGGGGCGACAAGTGAACATTGGGATTTTTGACATGTTTCAAACATTTATGACATGTTTCAGAGATTTGAAAGAGACTGAGCCAGGGCCTTCTTTCTCCCAGCACGTGCATGATCACCTATGCCAGCTTTCAAAAGAGTTTGGGCATTACTTTCCAACCACAAAAGACCTCCAAACTGGGAAAGAATGGATCCACAACCCATTTGTGAATAAACCAGGTGAATCGACTTTGAGTTAGAAGCGGATCAATTGCTTCAGATCACAAATAGCCTTAAAAGTATGTTTGAGACAACTTCAAACCTCCATGCATTATGGATTAAAGTCAAGGTAGAATATCCTGAGATTGTCACAAAAGTACTGAAAAGCCTACTTCCATTTCCAACATACTATCTTTGTGAAGCAGGGCTTTCTGCAGTGACAGCAACCAAAACGAGATTACAGAGTAGACTGGACATAAGCAACACACTTTGGGTGTCACTGTTTCACATCACCCCTAGATGGGACTGTCTAGTTGCATGAAAACAAGCTCAGGGCTCCCACTGATTCTGAATTATGGTGAGTTGTATAATTATTTCATTATATATTACAATGTAATAATAACAGAAATAAACTGCACATAAACGTAATGTGATTGAATCATACTGAAACCTCCCCCTCCCCTCGCCACTCCCCAGCCTGTAGAAAAAACTATCCTCCATGAAACCAGTCTAAAAAAGTTGATGCCAAAAAGGCTGGGGACCACTGTACTAATACAAACAACAAATGAATAAATCTCAGAAACAATATGCTAAGCAAAAGAAGTTAGACTAAAAAGAGTTCACAACATGTACACAGTAGAATACTACAGTCACAAAGAGTAAAATCATGTCCTTTGCAGCAACATGAATGCAGCTGAAAACGATCATTCTAAGTGAACAGAAATACAAAACTGAGTATCTCATGTTCTTACTCATAAGTGGGCACTAAACATTGGGTACACAGGTACAAATGCAGGAACAACAGATGCAGGGCACTGCTGAAGGAGGAAGCAAGGATGAGGGAGAAAGGGGCAAACAACCACCCGCTGTTCACTACTTGTGGGGAGAGGCCTTGCTAGAAGCCCAAACCTCATCTCCATACAAGTTACTTATGTAACAAATCCCAAATATATCCCACAACTCTACAATTTAAAAAAAAGAGTACACAGTCTCAGATTCCATTTAAATGAAGTTCAGGAACAAGGAAAACTAATCTACGGTGAAAGAAATGAGAACAACAGTTGCTTATAGGGGTTGGGATCGACTGGAAGGGAGTGATGGAAATGTTCTGTATCTTGACTGGATACTGGATATACAGGTGTATACATTTGTCAAAACTCAATGAACTCTACACTTAAGATCTCTATAATTATCTGAATATAATTTCTGTACAACTTTATTGAGTATATAACTGAACACAAAGTGTGCAGTTTCATGAATTTTGATATGTGTAGATTATAATCCATGAAACCTTGACCACAATCATAATAATGAACATCTCCATCACTTTCAAAAGTTTCATTCTATTATAGTCCTGTTTTCTTCTACCCCCTTCTCCAGGAAACCACTGATATGGTTTCTGCTTCCAGAGATTAGTTTTCTTGTTTGTCATTTTCATCACAATAAAAGGAAGCTTTTTGGTTTGTTTTGTCTTTAAGAAAAGAGACCAAAATGTATAGCCTTTTATATATAATACATACATTTTATTTTATATATATATAAAACAAAATATATACCTTCCTTACAGGTTATATACTGACAAAAAATAAACTTACTCTGATACATATAACATAGAGTTGATACATTTCATGAGGATAATTTATACTGAATATTTATTTGTGTCACTTTACTTCTAGGCAAAATTCCCAAATTAAAGACTCTACGCCCAATATAAGTCTGTATTACGAGCGGAGTGGAAAGATGCTAACTTAGACCTCCCAGTGAAAGCCAAAGCTGAAATCTATCTGAAGAACTGTGTTGACTCAAGCCACAGCGGCCCTTGTGACTGGCGACGCCAGCCGCTGGCCTCCTTCGTCAGCCTCTGAGCCCAGCCAGGGAACGCGGCTGCCCATGACCACCGCAGAGCATCTTCGCTTGCTCCC